AATTTTCAAGTACCCAAACGGCCCCTTACTTTCTTATGTGATTTGTTCACTCTAATTTATTTCTTAATCATACCCAACTAATTGGAAAAAACTGTAATAAAAAAAAATAAGTTCTAATCTGTGGTTGTAGTAGCTTTGGTGAAGCTAGGCCCAAGTTTGAAATATTCATATTTAAATCAGGGAGAAGTTTATATAGAGCCAAGGTTCTAAATAATCAAATTTAAGTACCTCAAACATTTCACTAGAAGATGTTATTTTAATGCCCAAATATCGTCAAATTGATCATCTTGACATCAAGATGCATGGACATGAGAAAAAAATAGATTTTAAGTTTTGGAAATAGTGTATTTTGAAACGTAATTTTGGACCGTCAATTTTCAAGATTTTAAAGTTTTAATAAATCTATCGATCTACACTATTTTTGCACGCTTTAAATTTTATAAATAAATATGAAAATATATTTTAAGGCTATCACAAAGATTTCCAATAATGAAACCACAATTCTCGATACTATTTGAAGGTAGGCTCTAATTTAATTGTTTAGAGCCTATGCTCTATACAAACTGCACCCTTTAAATTATGAGCTCTCCATTAAGATATAAAATGTTTTGTAATTTGTACGGATTGATAATTTATGTCCTAATTTATAATTAATGAGGGTTTTTATGTTTTAAATTTTTGAGTTATTTATCTAATAAATTGTAACATAGCATCCAAAGTTCAAGTTCTACAATGTGACTAAAAAAAAGCACGAGGCGTCTCTCTCCTTTCTTCTCTTTTAGGGAAAATGCATTCTATCTTTGTAATAAAATGAGGAAAATTTATAAAAATACTAATACGAGATGAACTATTCAATTTTGGTTCTATTTGCAATTATTCGAATCCAAAATCATATATTTTTTTATATATATTTTAAAATCAAATAATAAAATATTAAAATATTCATCTCTTATAAGTAGTTTGATAATTTTCCTGTAAAATAATAACAAACCGCATATTTTTTCATGCCACAAATCCCCCTATCATTATATAAATGACCTTCGATCATTCTAAACCAACAAACTACCTTTTTTTTTTTTCTTTTTTTTTTGAACAAGTGTGATAATTTCATTAAGATAATGAAAGAGAATAAAACAACGAATTAACAAACTACCTAGTGATTGTCCATTATGATTTTAATTCCCCTGGTCCTAATTCTACATTTTGTTTTTTCCTTTTTATTTGTTTTTTTCATTGAGAATCAAGCATATGGTGGATATCTCATTGTATTCTTATTGTAAGGAAGTATCACTAGTTTGGACGTTGGAAGCATATCGGCCAATAGAAATTTTATGTCCAATTAATTGACTATTTCATTTTTATTTTTTAGTATTTTATTTGTCCTCGAATGCCTGGATGATGCTCCATGGAGATGTACAATGTATTGAAGATGAAGATTATTAAATTAATTGAATAATAGTTATAAGGTGCTGTTTGTATAAGGCTGGGCCTCTAAACAATCAAAGTAAAGCTCAAGTTCAAATAGTGTCGAAAGACATTGTATTATTATTGAAAATCTTTTTGATGACCAAAAAATTCATTTCTATCTTTAATTATAAAACTTAAAGCTTAAAAAATAGCATAGTTTGAGCAAATCTACGAACACTTAAAAATTTTTAAAATTGACAGTGTAAAAAATGTAAGATGCACTATTTCTAAGACTTTAAATCTATTTTTCTCATATCTGTATCTCTTGACGTCGATACGATCGATTTGAGAATTTTTGAGCATCGAAACAACTTTTTCTAATGAATTTTTTGGGTGCGTGATTGTTTAGGGCCTTCTGCTTAAATAACTTTTTCTCAGTAGTTTTATCATTACGGGTATCTTTGTAGTCATCACAACAAGTAGTTTGAATTTGGTGTACGGTAAATCACTAGCTAGGAAATCAAGGCAATTAAAGGAACTGCAAAATGGTATGGAATCCATCGATGAATTGAGATGAGGGAGATAGATTTGACGAATAAGAAAAGGAAATTTATTAAATGTTTACAAGAAAAGAATAATTTAATATGGAAAAAGTATCTATAAGGTTGATACCTAAAATTAAGGTGCATCTCAAAAATCAATAAGTACTTTGATGTTGAAAAACATCTAATTGAACATCTCGACACCAAGTTGTATGAATATGAAACAAAAAAAGATTTCAAATCCCCCAAATGGTACATCTTATAATACATTATCTAGACCGTTTATATTCCAGATTTTCACGCATTTATAGATGTGCTTGATTTGAATCATTTTTAGAGTTTAAAAATTATAATTACCGGTGAAAATGGATTTTCGGGCCATTCTAAAAATTTTCGACACCAAAATTACATCTTATGACAAAGTTTGGAAGTGTGTCTTACTTTGATTGTTTAAGGTTGCAACCTTATGCAAATATCATCCACTTAAAAATTTACCTTTGGAACTTTTTCAACTCAAGGCTAAGTATTGTTTTATAAGTATTTTGAAGTTAAATCAAAAGTTAGAGGAAGAGTGTTATAGGTTAGATATGGTGATATCCAAAATTACCCACATAAGGAAAACACATGTTATATGTTAGAGAAGAGAGTTTCCTATAGAGAGAAACATCGCTATGGTGCCGACTCTTGCAGATTGAGAGACTTATTTATTATAGAGAAGCGGTTCCCATGAAGATTTTGAGTGGTTTTCTTTTTTAATTAGAGAAAATCTTAAGTGCTACAAAGTTTTCTTCCTAGACAATGGTCTACATATGGAATAAAGATGAGATATAGGTAGTGGTGTCATTTGGGAGAGCAACAATAAAAAAGTTTGTTCGACTGAGTTTTATTGTTAGAGAGGTAACTCAATGTTCCAAAATATTTGATACAACTTTCATTGGTATAGCAGATTTCCATTTGTCGTGCCCATGGATGTAGGCCTTTTGAGGTGAACCATGTAAATCTTTGTATTCTTGTGGCCGGTGTTTCATGCTTTAATTCTCATACTGCTAAAAATCAACCCATCTAGTTTAGAGCTTCCGCGCGCAACATCATATTGTTAATCTGTTATGGGTAATTTGACAAATTTCAGATAAAACAAAGCATTTAACAAAAAATTCCTCTTATATACTCAAGGTTTTATTTTGCTTCTTTGTATATAATTTCAAGTAATGGGCAAGACTCAACCAAGCCCACTCAGACTCGGCTGAGTACTTTGGCTTCAGCCTATGAGCAAGGTGCGTTACTGGCAAGTTACGTGTACAAGTCACCAAGCGCAAACAAATACTAACAAACAAAAAAAAAAATGTAGAAAAATATAAAAGATAAGACAATACTTCTTTAGAAGAATTTTGTTAGCTTTTAAAAACATTTGGGAGCTTTCATAGTTTTCACTTTTGTTTAAATTTTTTTAACATATTCAAGGTGTAAATCCATTTTTCAATAATCCATCTTTTATAACATTTTTTCATCATATTTATTATCGTAATGATTCTAATAATTATTTTCATTTTTAGCAAAAATTTTGTACGGACCATATGAGGGGTGGGTGGTCTATTACCATTTGGTGTCTCATTTATCCAATATTACGGGCAACCCCCTCCACCCCCAAGGCATTTTTTTTCTTAAGTTGCTCCTGAAAACGATGGACAGGGGGCTATTTTTAAGGTAAATACTCTTTGTTGTCCGGTGTTTTAGATATGGGACGACTATCTAGAACCACAAAACCCTAATTTTTTTTTTCTTGTTTTTCAATTGCTGATGATACATTTTTCTTGATAAGAACCTGAAATCAAATTTTAATTTATTTGCATTAAATGACTCACAAATTAAAATTGTTTACACCGCTTTATCTTCAATTCGATGCAACCACACATATTCTCATTAGGGGTCCTCCATACGAGAATAATTTCTTCAATTCCTTGGGTAGCTTTGCATATGAATTATGCGAGTCTTACGTGTGCTCCGACTGATGTAGCAATCCGTGAAATAGCCCCATGTTGTTTTTATGGCCAAAAAACACGCTGTGAGGGTGCCGGTGGTGCTCGTAATATTGGGCAAATGAGACACCAGTAATAGACCCCGATATGGTATGTACATAATTTGATCTAATTTTTATTATTTTTAAAATAAATTTATTAAGCTTTTTTTTTTTCTTTTTTTTCATTTCTTTTTATGGTGTACTAACTCACGAATTACCTAGATTTGGGTGAGTTACTTGGCTTGGCCAAGTGCTGAGTACCTTGAATGAGTGGATTTTTTGTACACTATTTCAATATGACTTGATAAGGTAATATCTAAAAATTTATTGTCATGAAAAAAAGGATGCAGCATCTACAAGGCTTAGACTTTATGAAAAAAGAAAAAAAAACAAAACAAAAGTAATGCCTCATCTCAAAACCTCATCCAAAAAATACTATGGTTATGAGAAATCTCTACAATGGCTCTATGTCAACCATCCATTATGATATTTGTGGCTCAAAAAGATTACAAATCTTATAGAATTGTGAACAATTGAAAAGAGATGGTCTAGATAATGCGTCACAAGATAGAAGACTTTTTATGACTTGAAATCTTAATTTTCTTCACAAATATAATGTTCGAGATTATTAATTTAAAAATTTTGATGTGAGGTTGTACTCTTCCTTTTTTTCATAAGGCCAAGAGTTATTTTAACTTTTTCGTAAAATAAAATAAAATCTCATATGTATTGGAAAATAATTTATATTGACATTGGAGAATGACCTAGAGCCTTGATGGAAATACTGTCGAACCGTGGTGAGGTCTCTAACTCTATTAAAAATAACAATAATAATAATAATAATAATAGAAGGTGCGGCCCAAATCCCCCCGGATTCCTGCGCTCGGTAGGGGACCTCTCCTCGCTTCCTCACCCAAAGATTTTTAAGAATTAACCAAAGTGTCCAATTTGTTATGGATTAATGTGGAAATTAACTTTTCAAAACACGCTCTCTCTCTCTCTCTCTCACATTGATTCCTCCGTCTCTCTTTAATTTTCTCACATTCAATCAAATTTTGTAAGTTTCCAAGTACCAAGAACCTCTGTAACTTTTGATGACTCCAAAGCTCAAGCTAGCCCCATAACTATCAAGGGTTCTCAGACAATATTCCTTAGTTCCACTTACAACTCCTATCAACCAGAAAATCTCTGTAATTTCACCATGAAACCTGAAATACCTGAAGTAGAAGAAGAAGGCGAAGGAATAGGAGCATCAAGACCCCACAGAAATCCACAGTTTTCGAACTATGACAATGTGCAGGTAGAAATTCCTGAGAATAAGAAAGCACAGAGGTACCCAATATCACTAACTGCTTTAGAGATTCTAAAATCATACAGTAGTTTGACAAAACCCCTTTGCAATAGCACTGAAATTAAAGAGGTTACAAAACTCAAGAACCCAACTCTAAGAGGGAGAAGGCTCTCCACACAGGAAGTAATTAGGATAGCGGGGGAACAATACCTCTACAGTGGTAAAAACCTCTCTCTTCAATTCAATCCCCATCTATCGAACATCAACAATGAAGACATCAATAACATAGAGCTAATCCACTTGCTGTTATCCTCAGCTGAAAAGATCGAACACAAGCAATTTGATAGAGCAAAGAGCCTTCTCATGGTCTGCGATTTCGAGTCCTCACCAGTTGGAAACCCAGTTCAGAGACTAGTCCTCTATTTCACCGATGCCCTTTGGGAGATTTTAGAGAGAGAAACGGGGGTAAAATCTCAGAACCCGACTATCACACAAGAGAATGAAGATGAAGAGAGTATATCAATAGGTTTTCACCCTGCTGCAATGGTATTTTTCCAGGTAGTCCCTTTTGTGAAAGTCCTTCAATTCACAGCAATTCAAGCTATGCTTGATGCAATGGCCTCTTCAACAAGAATTCATTTGATTGACCTTAAGGTGAGAACAGGGATGCACTGGACCGTGCTAATGCAGAGCCTTGCAGCAAGGCTTGATCACCCTGTTGAGCTTCTAAAAATAACCATGGTGGGAAATTCCAGAACGCGGATGGAAGAAGCAGGTAACCGGCTTCTCGGGTTCGCACAAACTCTTAAACTTCCCTTCGTATTCAATCTGGTTGTTGTCTCTGACATGGGAAAAGAGATACGAGAGAAATTGCCAATGGAAGATGGAGAATGGGTTGCTGTTTATGCACCTATAGTGCTAAGCAGCATGCTAGTTAAGCCCCACTATTTGGAGAATCTTGTCAAAGTTATCAGCAGCTTGCGTCCCGATATAATGGTAATCACAGAGGTGGAAGGGAAGCACAATTCTCCATCATTCGTGAAGAGATTCACTGAGGTTTTGTTCTATAACGGTGCTTATTGCGATTCTCTGGATGCCTTCTTCGACTCCGATGATGTGAATCGATTGGTGATAGAGAGAGTGTGCATGGGTACAGGGATTCGAAGCATGGTGGGGAGAGAGGGAGGAGAAAGAAAAATCAGGCATGTTGGGGTTGATGTGTGGAAGCTATTTTTAAAGAGGTTGGGTTTTGAAGAGGTTGAGCTTAGCCAAGATGCCTTGTATCAGGCAAGTCTTATAGTGAAGAATCATAGGCATGCTGATTCTTGCACATTGGAAATGAATGGAAAGGCTTTGACAGTTGGGTGGAAGGGCACACCATTGCACTCTGTTTCTGCTTGGAGGTGCCTTTAGGAAGGGTCCTTGTGCTCTCTCTCGGCTCGCTCTCATGAGATTAGGCCTCATTGTTACTGAACTTAAGGAAACACACCTGATATTATTTCTGCAGAATGTTGTAAACTTGCTATCAATTTTAAAACAGCAACGGGGGCAAAAAATCGTTTCCAGCTTCATATGATTGGAAGATGTGTTTCTTACTTATTGTCATTCACTGTGACCAAACAGATTTTCATTTTACTCTGTAACAATTGCCATGTATGTCTCTGTGTTGCAATAATTCCAATGGCAACTTTGTTTTCTGTCCATTTAAGAAATTTACATTCCGAGAACATAGTTTGGGGTCTTGAAAATTTCATTAGTCTTGAATATTCACTGACATCTGATAAAAGCCTAGGATATATGGTTGCTATAGGGATTTAAATCAATAATAATAAAATACAATTACCCATTTCCAAAATCAGCTTTAATTTCCTTTTTTATATTCATAGTATACTTAAACTTTGTATCAGAATATGAGGAAGTACTGTCTATATGTAACCTTGAAAACCAGATTACACATCTTTGAACCAAGGCCTTGATATCTGGTCCATACGTTCGAGGTTGGCAAGAGCATCGACACTCTATTTCCTTCTGTCTGTGACATTCTATTACTATGTATTGCGCATCACCATGGCCACCATCTCCTAGCGGAGCTTATCTATGAATTTGGCACCTCTTGGTTACACGAACTAATCAATTTGTGTAATTGGGCGCGAGGCTAAGTGGTCAAGACGGAGGGGTATCACACAACAAGACGACTTGAGTTCCATTTCTGTCAATGTACTGCCAAGAAAAGAAAAATTATAACCACTAATGTACTATCAAGAATTTTTTGATTTAATGACAAAATTGTTCGCCCAAACACAAAGGAACAGTGGCACTCGTGGTCTCCAATGATACCTCCACCCTAAGCAACTTGTACTTTCTTTGAATAGTGGTACTCATGGTACCTCCACCCTAAGCAACCTGTATTTTGTTTGGAAGCACCAAGCTGCACAGCTGGCAAAGGGCGGGGCCAGCCCTAGCCCTAGCCCTAGCCCTAGCCCTATCCCTATCCCTATCCCGGCCTTAATGCCCATGGGGCCGGCGCTGGCCTAATGAAAGCTCGGCCGGGCCAAATAAATAGAAGCATGTGAGTGGGAGTGGAGATTTCTAAATTATCAGACTCTTGAGGTCTGTTTGATTTCCCTTCAAATTGCAATTTAGTCTCATTTGGAAAAGCCACACCCTCATTTTTGCTGATCATCCATTGGTTCTCCAAATATTCATCGTTTTTGTCACTAAAACTCCACAGAACATCAACAAAATCTAGACCATCTGTTTTGTTGCTGCAAATCACTCTGGATGGTGAAAATCAAGGTTAGGCATTCCGTGCTTCTCTAGTTCTCCTCTCTGTCTCCATAATCCCATTATCCTTGTCTTTTTCCACATTCTCTCTGTCGTCCTCCCATGCACTCTCTCTCAATCCCTCTAACCCTATCTCTTTCCCCCTCTCTCTCACTAGGTCACAACATTATCTCTCTTAGAAGAAAGAAGACGAACTAAAGGCTCTACTACAAGGTATTTTGATCTTCAACGAGAGAGGAGGAGGAGAAGAAGAAAAAGAATAACATAGTTTACAATTCATATATATATATATATATATATATATATGGAAGATACTAACAAACGGTACTAAATACACGGAATGACTATAATTGGTAGTGTGTATTCTAAT